CGACAAAAAAAATAAAAAATAAAAGTAAAGAAACAATTCACAAGAACAATATAGTAACTTACTAAGTTGTTGAAATATAAGCCCTATAAAAAAAATGCTAAAAATTGTATCAAAAAAGCTAAAAGACCATAGAATACACCTTTTTTTTTGAAAGTAAAATGCTATATCTTTATCTATAATACACAAATGTAATATAATCAAATTCTGTTTACCCATTGAATGTTCTAATTTTTCTAAATAAAATGAAAAACTTATAAACATTAAAATAAACTAACTTGCCAAATATAGAATAACTTTATGTTAAATAAATATGTAATAAAAAAAATATAGAGCATTACAACAAAAATAACAAATTGCTTACTTAGATTCTCAACAGAATTTTCTAATTTTTCTAAATAAAATACATTTGAAAGTTACAAAAGTCACTTGCTGACTGACAAACTGTCACAACTGACAAAAGTCAGTTGCTAAATAGCTTTAAAAAAATAAAAAAGCATAAATGTATTTGCACACAAAAAAAACGAAAAACAACAACAAAATTCCTCACTTAGCTTGTCCATTACTTCCGCTAAACATTAAAAAAAAGTTATAATTAACAAATTGCTGAAATTGGTGAAATATATATCTTTGTAACATATCCTTCTCATACAAAATTAGCTTACTTGGCAAGAGCTCTGCGGCTCTGATCTCTTGAACATCTAATATATATATAGACAAAATTAATTTTCAAAATATTTACTTTTTCAATTAAACACATAAGATTTGTCTTAAATTATAAAACTGTTGCACAGTTTTATAATTTAACACATTCAGTAAATGACAAAAAGTCTCATTTTACGTGAAAGTTTAGTAGTTAGAAGACTTAAAAGTCAATTTTAGCTTAAACACGTTTTATGAAATTATAGCTTAAACACCTTAAATAAAGCTTATACGCGTTTTTAAGGTTCACTGCTTTACAAAAACATCAATCAAAATAGCGGAATAAACAAAAACTGAGTTTTGGGTCCAGCCTTTTAAAGTTCTAAAGATTAATTTATATATTTTTTAATTTTAGTAAAATTTTAGGGGGGTGTACTTGATTCACGGGGTTAGGGGAGGGCGGCATATCTTGGTTGATTTTAATTAAAAACGGCTAAATTAAATCATCGTTTTATTCACACCGTAAATTAAGTACAGCTCCGCCACTTTTAGAACATATGTAACTGCTACTATATATATTATATATATATGGCTTACTTTGAAAAAATGCAGAAACTTCTTTGTCGCCTAAAGATATACAAAATTTTCTTAATGTAATTTCTTAATAAAAAAATAAGCTAAATATCTCAGTATTATTGACGCATCATCTCTTTTTATCTCTTTAATTAATGTTATACGAAATTAAAAGAATACCTTCTGTATCTTGGCTGCTCATTTCTAAAAAATAATCTTAATCTTTATTCTTGGGTCAAAAACATATTAACTTCAAACATATTAACATGGTAATTATAAAATAAGTTTAATTTTTTAAATGAAGATTACAATAATTAAACTTGTAGATTTAACTTACTTGTCGTCCCTCGCTTTGCAATTGTTATAATCGATATGAAGACCACATGGCCGAGTTTTGTGGTTTTAGAGTACAGTTGGCGCACAAATCATAATACCAAAATCAGTTGGTTTTGAATCTATTAATTAAGCTGTTTTTATTAATGGATTTGGTGGATTTAATTAGATAACCGCAAGGCAGTTTTACAGTGGTTTAAGAGTTGGCGTACGCTTCGTAATACAAAACTCATTTAATATTTGTTTATATCTTAATATTCGAGCATTTCTATTAGCGGATTAGGCGAAATTTTGTGGGTTTTCTGTTTGTCACCTTCTGGAGTAACTAATTTTGTTTTTTAGGTTTCAGATTACAATTTTTTTTTTCATACCCTTCCGTACTTTTTAGGACTCTTGATCAGTTAGTTTTAATAAAAATTTCAGATTGCATGTAAAACCTTTTTTTTATATATATAAGAAAGAAATTTATCTCTTTAATGTGTGTTGAACTCACAGTTTTAACTAATTACATAAAACATAAGTATCTCTATCATGATATATGCGCAACAAATTTCCAACAGCGTTTTTATGTTTTTAAAAATTTTCAAAAACGTTTTTAAAAATTCTCTCCGTTTGCTTTCTTATAGTATATTATATCTTTATTTTTATGTAATGCGTATAACATCTATATGCATTTAAACTTGTTTTTCTTTGTTTTCTAGAAAACTGGATAGGATTTAAAAAAAAAAATTGTGTAAGCAAAAGGTTTTGAACCGAAGCGAAGCACTTCAATCGCTGTGGAATGCTATATCATCTTTTTACACTATTTAATAAACAGAAAACTTATTAAACTTTAAAAAACAACATTTAATGCTTTAAAATAAAGAGATATTGTCGCAATGAAATTATTAAGTAAAAATAAATTGGTAGAATTTGATGTCATCTACTTTATAATTATACTGATTGATAATTAAAGAACTTAAAGTTTACATATTTAGATATTTGAATAGACTTTCGCTCACATTGATAAAATACAAATCATAACGGATTGTGGGTCCAAAAAAAAAGGTTGATAAACTACCATCTATAATTATTGGAAAGGTCGTATTTTTTAATATCAAAGATATCAAAGTTTGGCGAAAAAGTGAAAACAATGTCTACCTGAATTATATGTTATCTTCCTATTTATTATGTTTACCAATAAAACTTCCCTGATTAGTTTATAATTTATTCAAAGCCCTGATTAGCTTTTAATTTATTTGCCTATTAATCACCCTTAGCAACGAAAACCGCCAGAAATATATTCTTAGCATTCTACTTAACGACTTATCTAATTAGTCTATTTTGTCACTAAGTATAAAAAAATTTACTGAATATCAATTTATTTATCTATTTAATTTAATCTTTATATAATATATAATTTAATATATATAATTTAATCTAATTAATATAATTGAAATACTACTAATCAATTTACTGATATTTTTTCTATAGCATTGTTTAAAATGGTCATATTCTGAAAGGTAAAGAAATTTATTGAAAAGAAAGTTGCACAAAAGAAAAAAAAAACTAAATAAAAGTTATTCGTTTCAAAAAACGTTTTACGAAGAGTTTTTCCAAACAATTTTATTTTTAATTGGGTTTTTTTTGAATTACGTCATAAGCATATTAAGGCGTTTTGAAAAACAGTTGCTGCATATATTTATAGTAAAAAAGTTAAAAACTTTTAATTGTCAAAAGAAAGTTTTAAAGTTTTATCTAGCTACAGGCTTTTTTTTTTTGCCTCCACAGCAGCATCTTATGAAGTAGCAGGGCTGTCTTGTTAAGTTTTTTCTTTATTAAGTTTCAGACAACTTTTTTTTCAGACCATCCGCAGCTTATTAGGACTAATTACATTCGCACATTAATAACATAAGTGTCTCAATTATCATAGATACGCAACATATTTTTTCTCCTGGTGATGTTTTTTTTTTTTTTTTTCCATGTTTTATGAAGTTTTAGCATTCTTAAAATCTTTTCTTTTGTGAGTGCATAATATCGTTACGTTACATATGTTTGTATATAATCTTTATAAAACTTCGAAAGTATTTTTTAATTTAAAATAATTAAAAAAATTAAAAAAAATAGCCGCCTTTGGTAGGAGTCGAACCTCTAATTACTTGTTCAAAAGTTCGCCGCCTTATCCACTCGAGCTACATCAGCATATCATAAAGTGTAGATTTTATAATAATGTAGTAATTTTTTTGAGGAAAAAAATGTTAGATCAAAATTAAGGAGAGGTTGACGCAATGTAATTTTCAAGTAAAAATCAAACTGTAAAACGTGATAAATGTTTTAGTATGTTTTAACATATGTTTTAACATTAGTTTAAAGTTTACGTACGTTAGATGTTCGTTCTTGTTTTCTTATAGCGCTGCGACTCTTTCTTGCCAATACCTCGGTTGCAATGGCTGCCAAGGGTTTCGTTGCAAATACGCTCCAAGGGACACTACTACTACTACTATTAAAACTATTAAGTTCGGCAATATTATATAGAAGATTATTATTATTATCATTAATATTATTGCTATTACTGCTACTAATATTGTTATTATTATTAATTTGAAAATCGTTGTGTAATAATTACACGGAATGTAATCACATAAGAGATTACTTTATAACAGTTAAAATTTACTTTTATTTTTTATCAATATTGTTTTTAAAAAAGGTTTCCTCTTCACATTTACAGTTTCATGATCTAAATTGTGTCCAATAGTTACAAATTTGATTTAAGAAAAAGATATGTCTTGCGTTACTTTTTGCAGTGTAATCTCTTGAGAATCTGTAGTTGTGATTACTGCTTTTTTTTTATTCTAATACTCTATTGGTTATAAAAGTTAATGGTTTTTGTAATGAGATTTGATCGTAACCATATACTATTGTATACATTTGTATAAGGTCTCCATGAATTCTTCTTTTCTCTAATGATTCCAGGTTAAAAACGTTATGTCTGTTTTCGTATTTCATTTTTTTTTTTTAAATATAGGAACATTTGTGTCGCTCTTGTTTAAACTTTTTCCAAATGATCTATATTTTGTTGTTGGTTAGGATTCCAAACTGAGACAGCATAGTCTAAATGTTGTCTTACAAGTGATGTATATAATACTTTCATAGTGCAGACATCCAAATTTCTAAAAGCTTTATTAAATTTATTATTTTTATGTTGAGTAATGTTAATGGTTGGTTTAAAAGTAATAAACTGTTTCTAAATGTCGATAAAACCAACTTTATTTTATTCTAAAAATAAAATCAATTGAAAAATATTACTATTAAACTGCCAAATCTAATAATCGATAAAGCTAAAATTAAAAGTGAAACTTCAGTAAACTTTTTTGGCGTAGTATTAGATTAACATAACATCGGAGTAAAAATGTATTAAGTATTAAGAAAAAAAGTAAAAAAAAAAGTATTAAGAAAAAAAATTTAAAAAACATTACCATGTTATATAAGGCTGAACCATTTCTCAACAATAAATCTTAAACAAGTATATTTATTTTTTTCATTCCTTGTTACTTGATTTAATGTAATGATGCTTGAGCAAGTACAAATCATACAAAACTTAATAAAATTTAACAGTAAACAAAATAGCACATGCAGAATAATATTTGAAGCTAATAAAACGGTCCCATGCCAACCTCTTTTGCGTAAACTTGGTGCATTAAATCTCTATAAAATCAACTTAATATTAGTTTTAATATTCGTTTTTAAAACATTGATGGATTTTTAAAACAAAGATGGATTATCTCATTAAATATTTAAGACCTATTTTGACAAAGTTGTTACCCGACATAAATATCTTAAAAAAACTTTCAGATAATAGCTACACTGTCTCTAAATATACTTTAAAAAAATCATATTTAACTCAGTGGTGATTAACCTTATTTAAGAAAATGTTTCTTATGATTGAAAACAAAGAAAAAAAGATATTAGACAACAATTTAAAAATGAATTCAAACAGGCGTTTTACATATGGAATTAAACGTATCTGATTTAAAATGCTTTTTTTTGAATTAAAATTTACTTATATAAAATATGTCACAGAATGTATCAACTCTTATTTCATTAATTAAGTGTTACCTCTAATCTTAAATGTTATTGTTGAAATCTAGTCTGAATATTATTTTTGGAAGTTTCCTTTAACTATCAATTAGGTGATATCTATTTTACTTTTAAACAAATTAGTTTTAAGGTTTACATATATATATTACGGTTTTTGTTAACAAACTACTCTTTAACTTTTAATTTTTTGTTCTTTACTTGAATATTACTTTTTACATGACTAATGTTTTTAAAACTTTTTCTTAACCAACCACAAACTGTTATATATTTAACTTTTATATTTTTCAATAAATAAGTTGTAACAAAGTTCTTGTTTAAACTCTCTCTCTTTTATTTATTTATTCAATGTTTAATTTTTTTTTAATTTGTTTTGTTTACTTGATGATTACTTCTAACCAAAATATTGTTTTGTAATAACTTCTTAAAGCAATTGTTATTTATTTTTCATTTATATTTTTAACCAAATAACTTGTAAAGTATACATTTATAAAACGTGAATTGGGCCTCACACGCGTAGAGATGATTCGTTTAAATCAGATTTTTAACCTATAAGGGCATTTGTTACCTCAAAGAAGCATATTAGAAAGTGAAACAATAATGCTATTGGTCTTTGAAATGTATCAAAGGAGATAAAAGATTGATACTCAAGTTTAAAAATAAAGCACGAAATAAATGTGAAAGTGTAATACGTAATGTTTTTTCAGTGGCTGTATTAATATATTTTCAATTGTGTTTATATATTTTTGGCATATTGTGATTTCAAAAAAAGATCATAAAATTTCCCATTTAACTTAAAAGTTTTTAAAGCGACGAAAGAGAAAGACGTTTGAAAATAATTTACACACACTTTATGAACTATTTGAATTAAAATACATTTCTTCTATGTTAGTAACGCGGTTTTCCAAAACAAGATCAATCATATGCTAATCTAGTTTTTTCAAGATATAAAATTAATTAGAAAACTAGTACAGTTTTATGAATAATCAAAGCCTCTTTCAAAAAAAAGAAGAAAAATATAAGAAATTTCTTGTTGTTCTGCCGTAAAAGTCCGATACAAAAACTTCATGCTGTTAAGTGTCAAAAAGCGTTTAAATTAAAAGACTTCTTTTCATGCAAAATTAGTTATACATTGTATTATAATATTTCAAATATGATCACATTACAAATTACTTCATGCTTTGGAAATTGCTTTTGAAAATAACTTAATCAAATCAGTTACCGGCCCTGATGCTTATAAAGTTACAGGAATCTCTGACATAGACCTTAAATTATTTTCTAAATAAATTAACTAAAAATAGAAAAAAGTAAACAGACACAAAAATAGATTAGAGTTGCATTACAAAATCTGGTTAAAAAAAGAACTAAAGGCAAGCAATCCAAGTTTTGAAACAGATAAACTAGACAATGGCAAAAACTTTGGCTTGGCTTTTCCTACTTTATATCACAATTTAGGTATGACATTTCATAAAAGTTAAAGTAATAGTCTAAAGTTGTTTTTTACTATTTAATTTTTTTTTAGCTTGTGTTTACACTAAATGCAATCATCTGATATTTTAGTTTAAATTAGTTGTCGACGGAGACCACCAGGGCCTCCGAGTACAACCAATTTAAACTAATTTAAAATATTCACCTTAGGTGAATAGTTTGCAAATTCCAAACTATTTACCTAGCTCCTGAAAAAAGCTTCTGAAAAAACAAAGAAGAGGAGAGCATAAAAGAAAGACTTTGCTGTCAAAAGAAGAATTTTTTTACTTACTAATTTTGAACCTAAAAGAGGAAAAAAGGTTTAGCGATCCCGAGTATATTACCATCTATACTGTAGTTATTTTTAGTTTATCTTATTTATTAAAAAAAAATTTACAAAATACTACGGGTGATAATTTTTTTAGTGGGTTTTAATTATCTCACTCTTAAAACTTACATTTTTACATAAAAGATTGTCAAACAACTAATAAAATCAGAGAAAGATGGAACAGTGAAGTTAATAACAATGCATACTGGAAAGGAAGCATTAGCTTTGATTTTGGACTGTTGGCTTAGTAAAACCGATTACCGAAAATTTCGAATTAGAGCAGTTTTTAAAGAAAATGATTTACATCCAACCTATAATAAAGTAAGGGAAGAAAAAGTTTTACGCACATCTTGTTGTGTAATACAAACTACTGATTACTTAGCCTTTAAGTTGATTTACATCTAATTGACCATACTAAATTAAGGTTGTTAAAAATACGCAATCAACTGTAAAGGCTCCTGTAAAATACATTCTTTTCTTTATATACAAAGTAAGATTTGATGGTCCGACCGGCCAATCATTACACAAAAAAAGTACAGTAGACGAGAAAATTATCAGTTTGTTGAGGAACAACCTTTGCTTCCACTAAAGAATATATTTTTTGAAGGAAATTTATTCTTGAGTAATTACCTCAGCACTTTCTTGTACATATTGAAATTGTACTGTACGGCAATAAAGTAAAGAGGACGGTTAGCCCATTGCGATTCGACAGATTCTTTAATATACAGTTTAGTTGGAATGTTGCAAGATAGCATCTTTCCAATTTAACTCTAAATTAAAGAAACTGGCGATTCACAGTGGGCTAATGGGAAACCATCCTCTACACTTTACTGTTATCCAGTACAATTTTAATCTGTGCAAGAAAGCGCAGAGGTAATTACTCAATGATATATTTTTTTTAAGAACAGTAATTTGAAACCAATGGTCATTAATTACGTTATTATCAAACATAAGTTTAAATGCACAATGATTTATGGAAAATTGGCTACTATAGTTTCACCTTTAAGTAATTCTTCTCATGTATGCAGTATTTGTGGACTGATCCCTTCAAATATGAACAATTTAAATGTTAATTTTTCAAAAATAATTAATGCAGTTTCCACTGAGCTCGGATTGAATACGTTACATACATGCAATAGATGCTTTGAATGCTGCCTTCTTAAAAGTTATAGAATTGAATAAGGAAAAAGGCAAGTTAGGAAAGAGGATGATAAAGAACTTGATATAAAAAAAAGGTTATTTTTCAAAATGATGAAAGATTACTTACAAAAGATGAAAGATTACTTAGGTTTAATTGTATATGTACCAAGAAGCAGCGGATCAGGTTCAACAAAATGATGGAATCACGGCACGAAAAGTAATCCTATAACTGAAATACTTGTCTTAAATAAAAAATCTCATAAAGCGTTTCTACGTAATTTTTTGTGTTTTATCGTGCAAACATAAAATTAACGCTGATATTTAACATAAATTTAACGCTGATAATTTTTTGCAGATAAAGGTTTCTTTTAAGTCTGGGAAAAACTGTTTCTAATAATAACCAAAATTATCTGTAAAATCCCTAACACCCTATACACTCTTTTCTATTAATGTCCCTGCATCTGGAAAAAAACAATTATTTCTTTTTAAAAATAGTCTCCATGATGACTAGAGCCAGTGATAAAAAATCTAATTTGAAAAACTTTTTTTTTTTTAAATTGGAAAAACATTCACTTTTAAAGCCAATGGTAAACTTTATAAAAACAATATTCTTAATAAATTTGTGTACCTCGTCATATGCTAGGCCTGAAATAAAGCACGCCACTTATCTTACAAAAACAATTATAAATGTATTGAAAACAATATTATCTTTTAACAATGTTATTTTTTGATAGTATAGGGTTTTCTCAAATGATTTCCATAAAAAAAAAAAAATAATAAAACGTTTGAAAAGCATAACAACAACAAAAAATGGCTAACATACCCGGCGGCAGTGCGGCAAATAAAATTAGGGGCGGGATAAATACTTTTAAAAAAAAGAAATCCTCAAAGCTAAAATTCAATTAATTGAAATATGTCAAAAACCCAACTAGTCGACTTTAGTTCTCTAAAAACAGATTATAATTTGAAAATCACCTTTTGGGGCGTTAACCCCAACATTGCCCACACGCACATACATGCGTGCACACACACACACACATACACAAACACACACAACCTAAAATCGTTACTAAACGTGTCCCAAAATAACTGCAAAGCAATAGAAACAGATAAAATAAAAGATGATTTTACTAAAATAAATAAATAAAAATTCTTACAAGCAGAAATCCAAATTAATAAGAAATGTAACTGAAGTAATAACAAATGTGTTGTACTTACATGAAAAGTGTAAAACATTTGGTTTAAACTTTAGTTTACTCCCAAGTTTTCAAGTTTCTGCTTTCCAAGTGTTAAATTTTCAAAATTCCGACCAGAATTTAAATTAATCTAAAAAAATAAACGTAAAAGTTAAACCTTCACGTTTAGTATTATATTATCAAATCTTCTTTATTTAGGTTTCATAATCAATATTACCCAGTGGGCATTTCGACGTCGAACGAACGTTGAGCGACGTCGGATCTCGACGTCGGATCGACGTTGGGTTTACGCTGGAAATGGAAATGTTATTTGACGTCGGATAAACTGACATCGCGCGACGTCGGCATTCCGATGTAAATCCAACGTGTTTTTTGAAAACTAAAAAACGTTGCCTATAGCAGGAATCGAACCTCGGTCTATTAGATACTAAATTCTATGCGCTTACCACTACACCACAAGGACATATTAAGTGATGCGTTTATTTAGTAACTTATACTTGTAGCTATTTGGGAATTATTACTTTGATAAGAAATAATTTTGTTTAAATATTATATAAATATTAAAACGATTAGTTATATATTATAAAAAATGTATACTCGAAAATGTTAATAGTTAAAAAACTATGCTAGTGCATCCTACAAAACCTCATGATGTTTTATCAACCTTTATTCAAACTTTTTTCCATTAATAAAAAGACACGCTTAGTTCACATAATTATTGAAGAGCGCAATTGCACACATATTGTTGGGTTTCGATTAAATTTTCATCAGCGATGTCTTAAGACGTTGTTCCGACGTCGTTTTAAGGACGTTGGATTGACGTCGGAAAACGTCAAAAGACATCGGAGTACGTTAATATTATGACGTTGCCCGACGTCTTTTTATCGACGTTGGATCGATGTCAGTACTGCGACGTTTTTTGGACGTCTTTTATAAGATGTCGGAACAACGTTAAAATACATCGAAACGACGTCAGGGGATGTTGAGATAAAGACATCGCCCGACGTCATTTTACTGACATCGGAACAACGTCGGAATAGGTCTTTTGACATCGCTGATGAAAATCAAACGTAAATCCGACGTCGGATTGACGTCGGGTGCCCACTGGGTAAAAGTCAATTACTTTTCAATAACAAAAAAAAAGTTTTTTTTTTAGTTTGTTTGTGTTTTTTTTTCTTAAAAAGGCACGAAGAACGGTTTTTATATAAAAATATTGATTATTTTTAATGTTTTTTCTCTTTACAAAACGTATTATTAATCCATTTATATAAGCATTGGATAAAACTTGTTGCCTAAGCTAGTTTTTATATTTATACATATAAGTGTTACTCAATAGCTTATTGTTTTAAAAACATTTGATTTTAAAAAATAATTGATTTCTTAAAACCCCATTCCTTTAGGCCTTAGAAAAAAGTTGTAAAAGGTACTACGTTGCTAATCCATTTTGATCGAAAAAATCTTTATATAATTTACTGGTTTCACATATATTTAACAATGGAATCATCCATAAGTTACACAACGCTAAACAAATTTATTAAATAAAGTAGGTGAACATTTGCTTTTTTGCGCGGTGATTTTTAATAAAGTTATTTAAAACTGAAAACTTTAATATTTAAATTCACGATTTCGCTATATCTGAGTTTGCCGAACAACTGCGGAATATATATTTTATGAGTAAATGAAAAATAAAGTTAAAATATCAAGCGCCAGATATGCTTTATAATATAATATACGTCCAACATTACTTAATTTGCAACCTCCTGAAATTCCTTGGACGGCGTTTAATGTGTCTAATATGTTTTACTTCATTAAATATTACTTTACTTTATTTTTTACTTTATTTATGTTTACTTCATTTAAAACTATATAAACATTAAATTCAAAAATTTTCTATATAAAGTACAAATATAGTAGCGTTTATAAATAATAGACTCTTATCAATATTACTAATATCTTACCTTACCCCCGTTTTTATGATAAAGTATAAACCTCTAACAGCGCTCAATTCATGTCAACTCGACTAAAAACCCATATATTTATGACATATAAAACGGCCTTTACAAATAAATTCTATGTGTAAAGGTCATTTTCTACAAGACAAAATATTCGCGCGATGCGAATTTATTTGCTATGACGAAACGCTGTTTTAATTACCACTTATTTTCTTTTGCGCTACTATTTTCTCGTTGTCAGCATTAATATGGCAGCAATAAGTGTACGTTGTATGTTTAACTAGATGCAATTAATATTTTTTAGCATACTTTGAACCATGTGGAAATTTCTTCACATCAATTAATTTTAACATTTATTTTTTTATATGCAGAGGCGATTCTTCAAAAAAAAAAAAAATGATGGGGAGGGGATGAATCCTCAAAAAGTACCTACTGACACATTTTGAGGATTCTCATAAACAAAAAAATTTAAGCTCTCACTGTATAATCAATTAATGATGTTTAGAAAAGTAATAACTCTTTGCAACAAAGGTGATAATTCAAAAAATTGTTTTAAAAAGTCACAATTGTGCTTGCCGCACTTTAACGAAAAAACCACGACTGTAGCTTGCCGCAGTCAAAGGGTTAACTCCATGTAGGGTTTTTCATTAAAAAGATTATCCATGTGTGGCTACTTAAAAATAAACTTTAGCAGTCAAGAGGCGGTATCAATGTGATATCAAAATGATTTCAAAACCTTCTCAAGCTATGATATCCAATAATGATATCAAGATGATATCACAAGTGATATCGTAACTTTAGGAATTAAACTTAACTTTTAGCAGAATTCCATATATTAGTTATAAAGCACAGTAATAGTTAATATTTTCTCTTTTAATATCCAAATAGTAAGTTTTGATTTATGAACTGATATTGTAATATCATTATGATATCAAGAATTTGTCAAGCTATGATGTGAAATACAAGTTGCTAACATTCCAACTACTGTGACGGAAAACGTCTTACAAGAAAAGACAATTACTTTCAAGATGGTTCAAAGATATGCAAAAAAGTATTTTAAAAATTTTTAGACCAACATTGTTGATCTTGAGGTGCGGATGCAGCATTTTTTGATCTTTCAAATACCTAACTTCCAGCCATCGAGCAACTCCAAAAATTTATATATTTATACCAATATCAAATAAGAATGCTTTGCAAAAAAATGCAATGATTGGAGTCTGGGAACAAAAAAGCCCTTAAATTTTAGCTAATATTATTTCTTCTATTCTTAACTAAATCTACATTCATCAATAAGTTTTAAAATTTACTCAATAATCTCTTAGCGTTCAAAAACTATATATAGTTTGAACTCCCCTCAATTTGAGGGGGTTGCAAATTTTATACGGCCATAATTGTTGAACACTTAGAGATTATTGTGTGAGTTTCAAAATTTATTAATGTATATAAATTTGGTTGAGAATAGTAAAAAAATAAGATATCAACTTGTTGCTGTCACGTTTGGGGCAGGTGTAACTAAAATTTTATGGCTTTTTCGTTTCCAGGCTCTAACCGTGGCAATTTTTTGCAAAACATCTTTATTTGATACAAGTATAAACATATAAATTTTTGGAGAAACACATAAATTTTTGATGTTTGAGATATCTAACTCCATATCTGGAAGCTAGGTGTCTCAAACATCAAAAAATCCTGCATCTGCGCCTGACTTCCAGCACAAGTTATGGCGCCATTAAAAATGCCTTAAAACTTAGATATTACTATAATGTTAGATTTGAAAATCTTCCAAGATATTTTATTTGTTTGATTTATTTAAAAAGGTAATGTTTTGCATTGAATACGTTACTTTTGATATTTTTTTGTAGTAATCTTATTTTTACTTAGTTGCTATTTTTTAATTTTCTTTAACTGCATTTAGTTACAGTTAAAGAAAAATAAAAAATAACATTTTTTTATGCCCCCCCCCCTCTTCTCCTCCTGCATGCGTATGTATTATTATAAAATTAACTCTATGCCCCCAACGCATCATTTTTTTAAAGCATTAAAAACAAAAAAATTTTAGTTATTTTGACATTATTCAAAACTCACTCAAAAATCACTCAAAAATCACTTAGAAATCACTCAAAAATCACTCAAAAATCACTCAAAAATCACTCAAAAATCACTCAAAAATTAGATTCTTTTGTTAATAAAAAAATCAAGTTTTTAAATAGATTGAGAATGAGAATTAGTCACAAGACGTACATACTTGCTGTCTTTAATTGCCCCTCCCCCTCTCTCTCTCTTTTTACGGATTCTTAAGCTTTTGGGTTATCCTCTTCCCCCCTCCCCCCATACTTGCATACATGCTTCGTGGGAGACCCCTCATGGCAAATGACATTATTTATATTAATGGAAAAGTCATTCAAGTAAAAGGTAAAATTTTTTATTTTGTGATGCATTGGCTCAGACTCTAATTAATTGCTATAATGGTTGTATGGGGAAAAAAACCGATGATAGTTCAATGAATTTTTATCCCTACTGGTACTCACTGCAAAAACATTTAGAGCGAAAATATCAAATTATTCATCACAAGGATGTGATAAAGCAAAAAAAGGCTCGGACCTTGCTTGCACTAAAAATATATGTTTTATCTGGAAAAGGGCTGCTATTCTTTGATTGTCATCTGGGCAAATTAAATTATTAACTGTTTATTTATGTTCCTTAAAAGAATATATTCATGTAGAATTTAATTGAAAACCGTGTTGTAAAACCAAGTCTAAAGTATATGAAGTTGTGAAAAGTCTCTGAATTCAAAATCTTTCTTTTATATTGTGGGCAAGTGGTTTCGAATCATATACTAAACAAAGAAAAATACATTCATTTTTAAATTGTTAGTTTAAGTGTAGCTATTAATATACTGTACAAAAAGTAATTGACTCAATAAGGTTATGTTCATGAACTTCTTTGTTGCTTTGAGAACAATGCCAGGGTGTTTTACTCAAATCATCTGCAAGTATATAACCTTCATTGCTTAAATCATTTAGCTTATGATATTAGCTATAAAAAGAATGATACAATTTCCTTCTCAAGTAGTAGATCAGAATACTCGGTGACTTAAAGAAATTATCAAGAACAAAAGTTTGTAAAAAAAATTTAATGCAAAAAATAATGAAAGCTGTTATGTCAAGAATGAATGATTTTGTTTAATTTTTGTTAAGTTTAATTTTAAATACATATTCTAATGAAATAGTATCTAATGTCATAAAAATACAGTTAACCCTTTTGGAGCCCTCATCATTTGTTGTGTGTGTGTTTGTGTGTATGTATACATTTAAGGTTAATAATATAGCCCTTATTAATAATATAATCCTTTTTGATAATATAGTGCTTTTTGATTGATGTTATATTCCTTTTTGGGGACACTTAACGTTTTAGTTGTTACAGATTAAATATTTTTGGACAATGTTTGGAACAAAATAATATAGGGTACAAAATAATAAAATAAGTGGGCAAAACCGCCTTCGAAATGTTGGAATTATTGTTATATTAAAATAAAAGTGAAATGTGTTTTTTTAACAGTTTATTTCAATAAACACATTATTAAGTTTTAAATTGCTGCAATTAAAAAAAATAGTAAAGCGGTTTTTACAAATGTTGTTACATAAAAAGTACATTTTGTGAAAAAAATGGTTTTTTCCTCATTATGAGGCACAACCACACCCTCACAAAAATCGTTGAACGAGCACTTTTTATGGTACATTTTTTTTAAATTAAGAAATGCACAATTATCTACCTACAATATATTATAGTATTATAGTCATCAGATATACATAAATATAAAAAGATATCAATTTATACACTTAGCTTTTTATCAAAAATTCATTTATAAAAATTAAGCAAAAAAAGACAAAATCTAATTTTCAACATTTCAAAATAAAACTACTTTTATTCAAGTTTTTACATAAACGCATTCAGGTGTGACGATTGACAATGTTAATGTTCGTAATTGCCTTTAAAAAGTATTCGGTTGTATCTCGTTTGCGTTTATGCGGTTCTGCCACAGAGAAGAGTTTTGAGAAGGAATAGCGTTTTATAGCTTGCTTATTAGGTTATGTTAACACCAAAAACGGCTTTCACTTGATGTAATTACGCTCATAACACATATCTTTAACACTAAAATCAAGTATTGCCTAATCCTCAAAAGAAAGGTCTGGAAAAATATGATGTAAAAATAATATTTTTATCAAAACGTTTTTATAAAAGTTAATATGCGCAACTTTTCAGAAACGTATCAGGTATTCTTTTTGATATAAACGAAATGAAGAAAACTGTTTTATCAATGTGTGGTATGTTTTTTGCCATATTAGATAGCATTTTTCAAAGTGCAATTTTAAATTGGTTTTGCCTCGATATGCGGTTATGTACCAACTTTCCCTACATATGAATTTTCTTTTGTGTTCTATATTTTTATCTGGTTGTATATTTAATAAATAATATTAAAAAAAATTTTGGTTATAAATGCAGTTTATTTCAAGATACGATACTTTATAAAATTTAAGCAAGTTCAATGAAATAATGACCATGGCTCACGTTAGGTAAGAAAGTAATATACAATAAGAAAATGAGATATTAAAGTATTCACAATTTACTAAGTTAATTAAATACATACACATGCAAATGTGTTATTTATTTATATAGTCGTATAATGACATGTTCTAAAATGAGTCTGTACATTTTCCAGAGTTTAGGAAGATCATTATTTGTTCACTTTGTTGTTATATAATTGGCAGCACTGTCAAATATAGTACCACCTCCCAGCACACACAAAACGTTCGAAGAATGTTGCGAACATTCAAACAAGTTCTGTGAACGTTCATAGAACATTCTTTCACAACGTTCACAACGTTTGTTGAATGTTTGTGTTTGCTGGGTTGGTACTGATAAATTTTCAGAACATAATTTGTTTATATTTACTTTAATGTCCCCTCAAGCTTTGTTTACTGTTACTAATTGTATACTTATAATTTAAAATAACAGATCATTAAGCTTTTTAAATTTTTTGAACGAAGTTAAATTAAACAACATCTTTTATTAACTTTTAGGGACTGCTTAT